CAGGATTATTAAAAACATAATAATAAAACAGAACTTATGTTTGAAGAACATCTTGTGGTTTACATTATTACTGGTCCCTGGCCTGTTAAGAACTAGACTGAACAGCAGGAGTTGAGCCATGGATGGGCAAGCATTATAGCTGAGCTCTGCCTCCTGTCAGATCAATGGGGGCATTAGATTCTCATAGGAATGCGAACTGTATTGTGAACTGCGCATGGGATGGATCTAGGTTGCACGTTCCTTATGAGAATCTAATGCCTGATGATCTGAGGTGGAGCAGTTCCATCCGAAAACCATCCCCCACCCCCATCCATGGAAAAATTTGCTTCCACAAAACCAGTCACTGGTGCCAAAAAAGGTTGGGGACCACTGACCTATTCCATATACATTACCGCATTAGAACCTCCTAAGAGCCTGGTAAACTGTGTAGGCCAAAGATTCTTGTCTCCATTTTAGGAATGAGGAAACCCTGCCAGAGTGTAACTTGTGATATAACTGGAAAGAAAGCAAATGTATCATAAATGACGCAAGAACAACACAAAACAAGATGCCCACTTTTGCAAAAGAAGAAATCTTCCAATTTATAAGATCTGAAGAGATATCAAGTCCAAGGGTAGTCTAAAGCAAATAGGAGTCAAAAGGTGGGAGATGTGTCTCCTTTTGGAAATTCAGTTGTTTTTCATGGCACCATACAATTTTTCTATACTGGATTCTTTGTTGTTGTTGTTGTTTTGTTTTGTTTTTTTGAGACGGAGTCTCACTCTGTCGCCCGGGCTGGAGTGCAATGGCAGGATATCGGCTCACTGCAACCTCTGCCTCCCAGGTTCAAGCAATTATCCTGCCTCAGCCTCCCGAGTAGCTGGGATTATAGGCATCCGCCACCAGGCCTGGCTAATTTTTGTATTTTTAGTAGAGACAGGGTTTCACCATGTTGGCCAGCTGGTCTTGAACTCCTGACCTTAGGTGATCTGCTCACCTGGGCCTCCCAAAGTGCTGGGATTACAGGCGTCAGCCACTGTGCCTGGCCTTCTATACTGGATTCTTATGTGAGCTGTACCAGTTACATTTTCCACAACCACATATTATACCACAAACCAGTCTGACCTGCAAGGCAAGTACAAGCATTGGTCCTTTTGTAATGCCCTGCTGCCTAACCAGTTTGTATTTGCAAAAGCGACACGTGTCCAGGTTAAGTTGGAGATGTCCTAGGGAAGGGTGGATGGTTGTTGTATGAGGCCTTGCCTAGGATCCTTTCTGGGCCTACTTAGGGCTTCAGATGCAATGGAGATGAAAGATTTTATTTCATCAGATGGTATTAACGTCATTTCTGGATCAGGCCTTGTGCTGGCAGCCTGAAGAATTCATAGTCTAGGTAGGAGAGAAAGGAAGATATACATGTGGCTAGTGATTACCTAAGTTAAGATGAATTGTAAAGCAGAATAAGCAACATTCTATGGTGATGGAGCAGGAGTTAATAGTTCTCATGGAAGATCCTGGAAGGTTAGTGGAGGAAGGAGCATTTCCACTGGGCCTTGAAAGATAAGTAGGTATTCCAAAGACAGAGAAGGGCATTATAAATTGAGGAAATCTGTGAACAACGTTATCAGAGGCATGAGCTTAAGGAAGATCTACTGGCAGCCTAGGTGGGGCAACTGGGGAAAATTCTTTGGGCCTTTTTCTTATGGAGAGGGGATCGGTCAACACTTCACCTTACTCTTCCTCTAAACATCAATACAATTTAATTTTGAAAACTGTATCTTTAATTATACTCCAAGGGGCCTATGGAAGTTACTGATAGTGTGGCCTCCTTTCAAGGGAGAGTATTTGAGGTAGCCAGTGCTGGTTGAGTTGTCCCAGACCCTGCTGTCTTCCACGGATAGCCAAATGTATTGGGCTAGAGTATAGGGTACATCAGAAGAGGATTGCAGTACTCTCTTTGGCAGCACATATACTAAAAAAAGGAACAACACAGAGAAGATTAGCATGGGCCCCTGCACAAGGATGACAAACAGATTCATGAAGCATTCCACATTTTTTTTAAAAAAGAAGAGGTTGCAGAGATCCTGAGCAAAAAGAACAAAGCTGGAGGCATCACACTGCCTTACTTCAAAATACACTTTGGTTACAAAGCCATAGTAACCAAAACAGTATGCTGCCCGCATAAATACAGACCTGTAGACCAATGGAACAGAATAGAGAACCCTGGAAAAAGTCCACGCATTTACAGCCAATTCATTTTTGAAAAAAGGTCCCAAGAACATACCTTGGGGAAAGAACAGCCTCTTCAATAAATGGTGCTGGGAAAACTGGATAACCATATGCAGAAGAATGAAACTAGACCCCTATCTCTCACCACACACAAAAATCAAATCAAAATAAAGACTTAAATCTAAGACCGGAAACTATGAAACCACTAGAAAAACATATTGGAGGCTGGGCGTGGTAGCTCACGCCTGTAATCCCTGCACTTTGGGAGGCTGAGGTGGGTGGATCCCTTGAGGTCAGGAGTTCAAGACCAGCCTGATCAACATGGGGAAACCCCATCTCTATTTAAAAAAAAATACAAAAATTAGCGGTGACGGGCGCCTGTAATCCCAGCTACTTGGGAGGCTGAGGCGGGAGAATTGCTTCAACCTGGGAGGTAGAAGTTGCAGTGAGCTGAGATCGCGCCATTGCACTCCAGCCTGGGCAACAGAGCAAGACTCTGTCTCAAAAAAACAAACCAAAACAAAACAACAAAAAAAACCATATTGGAGAAATGCTTCAAGGCAAAGATTTTTTTGAGTAAGATTGCAAAAGCACAGGCAACAAAAGCAAAAATAGATAAGTGGATTACATCAAGCTTAAGAGCTTCTGTACAGCAAAGGAAACATTCAACAAAGTGAAGAGACAATCTACAGAATGGGAGAAAATATTTCTACCCATTCATCAACCTCTCTTCAATGCCCCCCTTCTCCCCTCCCCTTCCCAGCCTCTAATAACTACCAATCTACTCTCTATCTTTATGAGATCCACATTTTACACCCACAATGAGTGAGAGCATTGAATATTTGTCTTTCTGTCCTTGGCTGATTTCACTTAAGATAATGACCTCCAGGCCAGGAGTGGTACTTCACGCCTGTAATCTCAGCACTTTGGGAGGTCAAGGCGGGTGGATCACATGAGGCCAGGAGTTCAAGATCAGCCTGGCCAACATGGGGGAACCCCGTCCCTACTGAAAATACAAAAATTAGTGCCTGTAGTCCCAGCTACTCGGGAGGCTGAAGTGGGAAGACGGTTTGAGCCCAGAAGGTTGAGGTTGCAGTGAGCCAAGATCCCAAATATCTTTTCTCATTCTGTAGATTGTCTCTTCTCTTTGTTGAATGTTTCCTTTGCTGTACAGAAGCTTTCTAGCTTGATGTAATCCCATTTGTCTATTTCTGCTTTTGTTGCCCATGCTTTTGCAGTCTTACCCAAAAAATCTTTGCCCTGTCCTGAAGCATTTCCCCAATGTTTTTCTAGTAGTTTCATAGTTTCAGAAGGAATGAGAGCTAGTATTTGATACTTCAGTATGGTAATTATAGTTTATAGTAATTTATTGTATATTTCAAAATATGTAGAATAGAAAAATTTGAATGTTCTCAGTATAAAGAAAAGAAGAAAAGACAAACTTTTTTTTTTTTTTTTTTTTGAGACAGAATTTCACTCTGTGGCCCAGGCTGGAGTGCAGTGGCGCGATCTCGGCTCACTGCAAGCTCCACCTCCCGGGTTCACACCATTCTCTTGCCTCAGCCTCCCGAGTAGCTAGGACTACAGGCACCTGCCACCACGCCTAGCTAATTTTTTTGTATTTTTTAGTAGAGACGGGGTTTCACTGTGTTAGCCAGGATGGTCTCAATCTCCTGACCTTGTGATCCGCCCGCCTCAGCTCCCAGAGTGCTGGGATTACAGGCGTGAGCCACCGTGCCCAGCCAGAAAAGACAAACTTCTGAGGTGATGGGTATCCCAATTACTCTGATTTGATTTTTACACATTATATGAAGATATCAAAGTATCACCTGAACTCCAAAAATATGTACAACCTCTATGTTTTTTTGTTTTGTTTTATTGAGAGAGCATCTGACTCTGTCACCCAGGCTGGAGTGCGGTGGCACAATGATATTGACTCACTGCAGCCTCGGACCTCCCAGATTCAAGCGATTCTCGTGCCTCAGCCTCCAGAGTAGCTGGGACTACAGGCATGCACCACCACACCTGGCTAATTTTTGTTTATTTAGTAGAGATGGGTTTTGCCATGTTGGCCACGCTGGTCTCGAACTCCTGGCTTCAAGTGACCTGCCCACCTCGGCCTCCCAAAGTGCTGGAATTACAGGCGTGAGCCACGGTGCCTGGCTAATTTTTGTGGTTAGTAGAGATGAAGTTTCAGCATGTTGCCCAGGCTGGTCTCGAACTCCTGACCTCAAGGGACCCGCCTGCCTTGGCCCACTTTATATACCATGCTAAGGTGTTGTAGGTGCTGTTGAGACTGAAAGGTTTCAAGGAGAAAAGTAACGTGGTCATGTGTACATCTTAGATCGATCCCTCTGGCTGCTTTCTGGGAGATGGTTTAGACTGAGGTAAGAGTGGAAGCAGAGTCCAAACAGGAGGCTACTGAAGGAGTCCAAGCAAAAAGTCATGGGGCCTAAACAGGTTCTGAGGATAGGGTGGAGCCAGAGGCAGTCAACAAGACATGTCTCAGAAGTATGAATAGAAGCCACTAGCCTTGAGTACTCACTGGGTGCGTGTGTGCAGGAGAATGAGACAGGACAGCAGGCAAGAGGGACTGCCTAACGAGCGCAGAGAGAGGTGGCCCTCTATGAGAGCCTCCAGTCTGTCTCTTCAAGGGAAGGCGGGAGAGGAGGGGCAGATCCGAGGACAGAGAAGGAAGAAGTTTAGAGCATGAAGAAAGAAACCCCAAGAGGCCAGGTGGCAAGGCCAGAGCCCCGCCCCAGGCTCCGGCCCCGCCCCCAGCTCCACCTCTTCTTCCTCCCACCTCCCACCCCCAAGTCGCGGCTCATCCTCGAGGGCGGAGAGAGGTGGCATTTGAGTCCTCCGGTATCCCAGCAGGCAGTGCAGCCTAGAGACGCTGACAAAGGAGCGGAGGAGCAGTCGCAGCTGCTTTCCGAGGAAGCCGGTGTTGCCGAGGTGAGAGTCCCCCACCGTCCCGTCACCCACTTCCTCTCACTTCGGGAAAATGTGGAAGTTACGTGGCTGAGAGCCCCCCGCCAAAGAATGACCCATCCCCACAGCCGGAGGTTGGCTCTGTGATTGACAGCGGGGCTCCGCTGCGCCGGGATGCGGGTGGGCGGCGGGGAGGAGACGGAGGGGATCCTTTCCTGTCCGGTGTGTGACTGGCAGTGGCTCCGCCGCCCTCGGCGCCCGACCCCGGGGTCTGGCCAGCTGATGTGTGGCTCGCTCCTGCCCGGGCAAAGGCAGGCTCGGGAGCCTCTCGGTGCCTGCCCGGCGGAGTTCGGTTGCCCAGGGGATGCGGCTCTAGGGACAACTCTTGGGTGGACGCAGCGAGGAGGGCTGGGGGAGGGAAGTTGACTCCCCGTTTGGGGTGACACCGTCCTCGCCCTTCCTCCAGCTCAGCCGGTCGCCCCAGCGAGCAACTGGAAGGAAATCGGCAGGGCTGGAGCGAGGCGTCCCGGGATAGCCTCAGCTGTGCTGTCTTTGCCTGGAGGGAGATGAAAGTAGGGTGGAGAGGCGGGGAGGGAGAGCGAACGCCTTCTTGGAATAATGGGGTAGGGTGTAGGGGGTGCGTGGCCTGTTTCCTTCGCCTTCCCTGGACCTCTGCACGGATCCTGATGGTTGCACCAGCTGCTCTGCTGTAAACAGGCTCACATGACCGGTTTCACATGGAGCGGCCGGTGTGGGGACGAGGGCTGGGAAGGCTGGGCCCCAATCAGGTGGAGCTGAAGTCCTAGGACAGTCCATTTTGTACTCCCTCTCCAGCCCTCCTGCCCTTAATCAATGTTCTGCAGTTTCCCGCTTTGAAGGAAAGTAATTGACATCTGCCCTCTCTGGCTGAAGTAGCAGATCTGCCCCAGTAGAATCTGAGAGATCTCACGTCGGGGAACGAGAGGACAAATACTAAGTGAAAATTGACCTTTGAGGGAGATAAGAAGAGGACTCAAACGTGAAAAATTGGGTCCTTTGGATCTTGCCTAAAAAGCAGTCCTGTTCTTAATGTGAATTCCAGACAGAAAGGGGAAAGTCTACTTTTTCAGGCAAGGCACACGTGGGATTTAATATTCTTGATGAATATCTTGTCCACACTTCCTCTGAATACTGGAAAATCTCTTTGCTTAGAAAAGACTATATACAGGATATTGAATACGGAGTGGATACCACCTTTTAGATTATACTTATAGTTGGTAGTGGGAAGTTTGGAAAACAGGAAACAGGGCCAAATGTGTCTTTCAAGTTGTTCACGTCTACATACCCAATCAGGATGCGAGATTAAACTAGTTTCTGAAGCGTTTCTTGAACTCTCAAAACAACAGGTATACCTAAATACTAGGAGAGTTGAAATTTTGGAAGTTTTCAACTTAGTAAGGGATAGCTGTGATAGATTCTCCACACATGTATTAATAATATATAATTAAATGTAATGGACAATATTCAGTATAAAGTTACTCCTTTATAGGCAAAAATAGACAATAAAACAAATACCCTGTAAAACAATGCATGCTTCTTCCTTCAATTGTTTATGTACATTTACTTCCCAAGTGTTTTATTTTTTTTTTCTTAGAGAGCTTTTACATTTAACTCCATTTTCTGAAAACTAACAGTTAAGAGATGATCAGAGAAGCGATTCCATTCCCTAATAGGCCAATAAAGTAATTGGCTACTATTCTTTTTCTATTTTTAAAGAAGTTTAAAATGGAATATGTAGACATTTTACATGTCTACAAAAACATATATATTTTTTGAGACAGGGTCTTGCTCTGTCGCCCAGGCTATGGTGCAGTGGTGCAATCTCAGCTCACTGCAACCTTTGCCTCGCGGGCTCAAGCAATCTCCCACCTCAGCCTCCC